GCACCAACACCTGCAAAAGACTTATTAAAGTGATTAGAAACTTTTTGCTTATGATATATTGAATAATTTATTACTTAAGACCTCTAATCATTCAAATGAAACTAACTATCTATAAGGGAAACTAATTACAATAAGGAAGCTATTAGGATATGTCCGATTTGGAAATTTATAACACAGAACTGCCTGAAAACCAAACAAATATGGATGTCTCACATAAGCCAAAAAAAACATTGTTCAATGCAATTAAACCAAGAATTTAATGGATACGATGTTATATTGTCAGCACACTGTATTTTAATTCTCACATGACCAACTCTGTATTTATACAGCTATCTTGATGGTGTGAACGCTCACAAGTTGTTAACACAGGAATCGTTCCCATCTCTACCATCCATCATCCCACAAAACATGAATGCAGCATGAGGCCATAACCTGAGGGGGTCACAAGCCAAAAGGGTTGGGAACAACTGCTCTAGCATACTCTAAATACCTGACAGACCAACACTGCCTATGAATGTCAGCCACCTGCAAGACGTTAAACAATCACAATCAACTGTGCAAAAGTCAGATTCATAATTTTTAGTATTACTGCGGGTTATGCCATGCCTTCCACAGAAGCACTTGTCAACCTAAGTTTGTGCAGTCACAAGCCCACACTTCCTAAAACTCTTTGTGATTGTTCCTCTCCGGTCTCTCATCTCCCTTGCAATTAGCTTTGCGGCTGCCGCGTGTGTACGCCAAAAAAAAAAAAGAAAAGCATGCACTTAAGAAGACGAGGTCGTAGAAAACAAACTCCGGAAGTCTCTGATTGACAGATCTGTCTGCCCACTCTGGTTCCCTGGCTAAAGCCGTGGCTGCTGTGGCTCTGCTGTGGTTGCCACTGGTCCGTGCCTAAAGACATCTGACGCAAGGCCATTTCTAGGTTACAATAACAACACCACACTGACACTGCAACGCCGGATATCCGAAACACTTAGGAACTCATTCAAGACATATTTAGTCGGAGGCTTGTAAATAACTGGTGCCCCCCTACAGAACACCAATACATTTTTTTCATTGAGCATTTTCTCCTCATGAGGAGCTAAAAATACTTCCAGCTTGCAGCATTAGAAACAACAGAGTTTATGTGTAGCAGAATGGAACAAATCACCTCTTTTGGAGTGCTTTTCTAACCTTAACAGCAGTCTTGCATCTTATTCCTGCAAGACACGGCAACCTGCTACATCTTACCTGAAATATCTCAATAGTAAAGAACCGATCTATTTTTTTCTTTGCCCTGTGTGGAATGTAAATAACAACACTGCAGTCCCCGCCTGCGGAACAACCATACAAGGGCATCGACGCTGGACTGAGAGAGCCCCACACAAACTACCAGTCTGAGATGCTGTACAGTACATAATGATGGCATTCACATCAGTGGTTGAGGGGGAAAACTGCCTCCTGACCACTTCCAACTAACAAACTCAAATTAAGACCACTGATGACCTCACGACTGCCAACTAGGCTAGTAAATCCAGCTGGATGTCTAATTCCAAAATAGTCTGGTAATACTGCCTACTGGTGCCACAGATAGACGGTTATGGCTTTGTAAAATATCTTGAAATACAACAGGTGCATACAATTTCATATTTTATTCTATATGAGCTTCTTTAACAGAGCAATTAGTAGCAACTTCATCTTTCTTTGGCCTTTTATTGCCTTTATTTGATAGCGACCAGGAGAGCTACCAGAGCGCCGCACAACTTCATATTTCATACATGTACTTGAACTAATCCAGACACGTTCCTTCTCCTCACCAATAGTCTGTCTGTGCCTTTTTGTTATTTATTAATTTTCTAAAAACAGAAATGAATATTTTCATTTGCAGTTGTGTATTATACCTGTACGGTAATAATAACCCTTATTTATATAACACTTTTCAACACCCTGTGCTCACAAAGTTCTTGCAACAAGGCAGCAAATTAAAATCAACTAAATATAAAATCAAATATTAAATCCAATCACGTGGGAGAACTCTCTTATGTGAACAGTTATGTTTGGGTACATTAATATTAACTATACGGTAGAAACAAGTAAGTTCAACAGTTCTCTCTTTATAGTAAAATGTCAATTTTTAATAAGATTACAAAACAAATAGTCTTTTTTTTTTAAGATAAATTCAGATGAAGTGAATAATTTGTGAGTAAAATGTATATAAAGAAAAAGCACAATATGTGCTTTACTTAGTTTGAAGATTTAACATACCTAAATATTTTTAACTCAGGACAATTTGCAGTACTTTTACTAGAGTCATAATTTGGGAGGATAGTTCTACTTTTAGTTAAGTGAAGCATTTATGCTACATCTGTTCTCCACAAGTGCTCACATGCATTTGTTTGGGAACATATAGAACAAGAGCGGAGGCGGTGCAATTTTCACTCCGGCAAAATAAAACGAAATCATTTCCTGTACTGAGTTTAAAAAGAGATGTATATATGGAGAAGTGCCAGATAAATGGAATTGATTAATTTAAGCAAAGAGGAAAGGTTTATGATTCCTCAGGTGGTTAACAAGTCACCTATGTTCCCCACAGCTTATTGTCTGGAACACAATATAAACATCTATATGTGTGAATGGAAGCGTGATGTTGGGACCGCAGTGTTTGCATGACTGGATCTGATATTTTGGTCATGACTGTAGGCAGCGCTGGAGGAGTTTAGGAATGTGTGACCACAGGGCTCTTTGGCCCCACGGCTGCATGTCTTCCTCCCTTGTCTGGGTCCGAAGACACGGACCATCACACCCCTGAACGTCTCCTCCAGGTCCACTGTGTGACAAACCGCAGCCGACAGCCACCCACTCACAAACTGGAAAATGACAACCCTCGGGACGGCTGCTGCTCTCTTGGAAGTCTAGTAAAAACGGAGCGATTTCCCTTTTACTGCACTTCAGAGCGAGCTGTGATTGCTTCCGCCCTGAGAGTGGGCGACTGTGTGGCTGAGGACATGTCATGTTCACGTCAATCAGCAGGTCAGACTGTGTACCTCTGTGATCTGAGGCCCTGAAGCATCAGACTCCTACTGCCATCTGCTGGACTGCTGGCTGAACTCACTAAGCCGGCGTGAATGTGTCATGGTCTGCAAATGGAGAAACAGAAACGTCCTCGCAAAGTCAACATTTCATTGATATTTAATTTATTTTTATCAGTTTTTCTCTATTTAAAACATCAACGATAAGGTAGTAAGGTAAAATGTAATATGCAATCCAATGATCAAATCTGTATGAGGATGCACACTGAACAAAAACTACATTTCATGTTAATATCAGAATACAGTTTTGGAGTTAAAATCTACAATTATAGTCCATAGAGATGTATTTACATGTATATGACACTGGTTTTAAATACAGTTTATTCTTGATAAGTGAAAGCTGATATGCAATACTCTACAATAAACTGTACTTTGAATAATGAAAATGAATTATTTCCTTTAAAAACATCTATTTTTTTTAAGTAAGTGATGTTTATTTTTTAAGTCTGGCCCCCACACACCTACATGTTCACTCATGCAAACTTAGGTTTTAATGGTCTGGTACTGTAGGTGTGGGATGAGTAACTACTTTAGACTCTCTTTGGCATGCACTGCCTCAAAAGTTTTACTGGCAAGATGAAATATTTACTCAAAACAGGAAGCATAGAGACAACACTTGGCAGGTAACACTTCCCTCGTCATTCATTTTACTAAAATATATACTAGAGTCTAAGAGGGAGATTTTAGTTTGATACGTGAAATCAAAGCTAACTGAGACTGGATTTTAGATACTGATACTGATATATATATAAGATGATGATCTAAATACATTTGTGTCTGTGTGTTTTTGTGTGTGTGTGTGTGTGTGTGTGTGTGTGTGTGTGTGTGTGTGTGTGTGTGTGTGTGTGTGTGCGCGCTCTCTGCTGGACAAACTGTGTAATGAAGACAATGTTTTTAAATTACCTAAAAAGTAAGCTGTGGTGAGCTTAGACTGACTAATATTATTATGTCTAATAATATATCTTCTTGATATGCAGGCATACTACAACAGCAAGGTTGTTCATACGTATAGCTTCTATAGATATCTGCATATTCCAGAGCTAAAACTATCTGTGGATTAATAAATAATGAACATTAATTTATTGGGAAAAATGCATACTCCATTTAAAAAGCACAACTTTTCTGTGAACTGAATTGTTTTTTGTTTTTTTTTAAATTGTTGTTTGGACAAAACAAACAGTTGTGATGGGCATTTCTTTTAAATATCCTGACATATTTTATACACCAAGCTATTAAGTGATTACTCAACAAGTATGAAGCACATTATAATAATAATAATAATAATAATAAAGTTGATTTATATTACACCTATTACATTACAAGAGTTTTACAAATGGCAGAATAATATATTATTGCAGCCCTACATATTTCACTAAGATAATTATTTTGTTAAGTGATTTTAATTGAATTTGTGGTGGATACCTTTCAGTAACTGTAACTATTTTTATGTTTAAAGGCAAATTAAATTGGTTTTGCTCGCTGCACTATTTGCTTTCCGGCCTTGCTCGCCGCTCACAGCCATAACACAGCAACATTCATGATATTATAATCAACACACATTTACTACTCAGGTCCAATATACCTATACATGTTATATTTCCTTTAAAAAGTACCTTAATTTCACACAAACACACAGTTACTGACCACATTGAGCTCCGTTTGGTCCAGTTCATTCATCCAACCAGCTGCGCGGTAATTTAACGCAAGCAGATTCGACAATTTTGATTAAAAATAAAAAAATAAATACCCCTTGAGTACATCCTATATTTCTTATCTTTAAGCTAAATAACACGTTTTTCTTTAGTTTTAAATAAAAAAAATAATAATAAAGACACAAAAATTATATCCGTTTTAAAAAAATAAATAATAAAAAACAAATCAGCTTCCGGTTTTCGTCAAATTCGTCAACAAAACGTCACGTCTCCTCGGTTCGGGCGGGCTGGTTGAAAAGTTCTCCCGTCGACAGAAGTTGCGTTAATTAACGTGTTACTTCGCTATTTTAAGACTTATTTCACTCGTTCAGTGAGCGGATGAATGTCTGGATCCGAAAACAACCGACAGTCGAAGCTAAGTTCGCTTATATTACTTTATATTACCTTATATTAGTGTGTGTTTCGGCACCAGTGTTTACAGCAGCTAGGTAACCTAACCTAACCTAACCTAACCTAACTTGATCGGCTCGTAATGTCCCAAGCAATGGAGCGACCATCGAGGTCTGTAAACCACTTTTAACCTCTGATTTAAAACCTTAATTCATTGCCTGATATTGGTGACTGTCTGTTGAATGCTCACACGGTGTTTGTTGTTGATACCCAGGAAGACAAAGACTGTGAATTACTGTGAAGCCAAGGACTTTGATGATGGTGAGGCCTTTTAATGTATTAATGCCATGTATACAGCTGTGTTTCTGTTGTCTGCTGTGTTATTTGTCCTGTTTTTATATATATTTTGAGCCCTATATATGTATATACACACACACCAGTGTTAGGCAGTAACTCATTACTAGTAATGATATTACTTCCCCCACTAACTACTAGTGTAACTACTTATTAATACATTTCAGTGATAATATTACAGCTACCACCCCCAAAAATAACTAGTTACAACCTCACTTTTATTGGCACACCCTATTAACTTGAAATCCAACAATGCAATCACATCCTTGGATTCACTTTTTGTGTAATCGTGGAGGAAACTAGTTTGGAAGATTATTCAGCAGCTGGAAATATTCACATTACTTTGAGTTTAACCCAAAAAAACAACTGGTTTTTTAATGGTTGTAAGTCTGATTTTTCTTTGGGAGAAAGGACACAATTACCAATTTTGTGGGAAGTAGTAGAAAAGTAATATAACTAGTAGTGTAACTAACTACTGTTGGCAGAGAATAATAAGTAAAGTAATAATATTACCTTTGAAAATAGATATAAATTACATATTTTGAGTAACTAGCCAAACACTGATATATACACACACAGAGTATACCCATTTATTTCTCAGTTGGCATTGGGTAGTTGTCTCCACCTATAGTCTTTGGATAGTGTTAATAATAATAATACATTTTATTTATAAGCACTTTTCTAAATACTCAAAGACACTTTACATAAAAACATAAAAGCAGCGAAACAACATCAAATAGTAAAACATTAAAAACACATCAGACTAAGCAAGACTAAGTTGATTACAAAATCTGTTCCTCTTCTCAGAGTCAGAATCAGGTTTATTGCCAAGTAAGTTTTCACATACGAGGAATTTGCCTCGGTATGTAGGTGCATAAGAATCAAAATCAATCGTAGAAAAATATAAATAAAGACACAAATACAGATCATTAAAGGAGCCAGTGTATACAAACATAAAGAGAGAGAGAATATGTACAAAATGTCTGGATACTTAAATAAATGAGTACACTTTGTTAACTTTATAATGATCCTTACTCCCTAAAGGCCAGCAGCAGAAGTTAAGTGACAGTGTAAAAATATAACTGGCCCATTTTTGAGTGAACTAAATATTCAAGAGTAGTCTTACATGTCACTGTTTATTTGTTTGCCATCCTGTGGGCTTACTCACTGTGAAGTTTGAGCCCTTTTTTAAAGGGTGCCAGTAGTTGCAGCTCATCTGCAGGAGACTTGAGATGGAAGGGAAAGAGCACACATAGGCATACATTAACAGACTCAGTGTCTTCTCTCACCACTGATGTATCTCCATGTTCTCTCTGTGACAGATGAGGATTTTGCCTGTGTCAAGGCTCCACCCAGCAAAAAGCCCAGGGAGGATGTCAAACGGGAGCACAAGAAATCATCGAGCAAGTCCTCCAGTCAGGAGTCCAACTCACAGTCCGCAGTGAGCCAGAAGAATAGGTAGTCCAAAGGATAATGTGACACAGTGGATCATTTATGCATTAATGATTAAGATGGTTGCAGATCTATATACCAGCTCAGAATGAGAGAAAAAGAGCAAATCTTTTGTACAACAAGTCAGTCTGTGGTTGTTGGTTTAGCATATCAGAGTGTACAGAGCTGGCTGTGCTGTTAAAACAAAGAACCACCTTCAAAGTAAATGTCATCATGTCTCCGTTGTGGTTTTATTCCCACTGATGCAGAAAGAGATGTGCAGTGTTGATAAGAGTAACACAGACAAACTTTGCTGCCAACAAAGGACAATACGCAATTGTAAACTCAGGAAAGCGTGTGGCTTTTTTAAGTTTTCAAAAACGAAACAGAACAAGTTTAGGTCCTAACGTTACTTAAGTTTAGTCTCTCACCTCACACTGGTAGCTAAACATTTTAAAGAGCAACATGATATGGCAAAAGACTGAGTCTCACAATGCTGTCCTCAAAAGTGAAATTAATTAATCTGTTAAGGTATCTGTGGAGAAAAATAAAAGGTTAAAATTTTTAACATGACCTTACATTATGCATACAACATGGCTTGAATCTTCTCCACATTCATTATGTCTTTCCCAGAAGACCACTGGATGAGAGACTGCATGAAAGAGATCTAGAAGCAGCCATTACACTATCCTTGCTCAATAATGCAGACGGGTTTAAGGACAGTTCTCCCACCAGTAAAGGTATACTTTGAATTTGTAAACCTGAACATAATTGTCTATTGTTTAAAGGGTTGTCAACTTAGATCCCTGTTAAATTTCTCCAGGAGATGTCGAGGTTCAAGTTCCGGTAGATGAAAACACAGATCCAGCGTCTTCGCGCTTGTCCAACTGCAGTGTGGATGGTGCAGTTTTTGGTGAATTCCCCTTATTTATGTCCACTTTACATCTTCTGCTGCACATTTAATTTCCTCATCCTTTGCCAAATATGTTTTCCTGAATTCGATTGTGTTTGATATGGATAGAAATCAACATTTTCTGCCGCTGTTATTTTTTTGTTTTCTTAGGCCTGGATGAAATCACATCAGAGAAAGAGGCACTTGCTCTTTCCAGGCAGAGGAAGGCTGCTGCTAAAGCCAGTGAGGAGCAGAGAAAAACCGATGAAGATGAAGACTATGAGCCCAAACTGACACCAGGTTCTCACCTTGTCATCAACCTTAAATATTTTTTATTTTAATAATATTATTCTAACTACCTAGTTTCTATGCTTTTTTTTTTTTTTCTTCTTGTGTGAGTAAACAACAAATAATGCCTTTCCAGATTCAGAGAGTGATGAAGATTTCAGTGAACCAGCTGAGAGCGAAGATGAGGAATTCACAGTGAAGAAAGTCAGCAAAACAAAAAAGAAGGAAAAATTAACCAAGAACGTGAAGACCAAACGGTCTCCTCCCTCCAAAAAAGAAAAACCAGCATCAAAACCAGCAAAGTCCAAATCGCAGGCAGCAGGTAAGTTCATCAGAGAAGATTCAGCTTTTGGTTGTGATCGTAATTTAAATTGGTCGTTGTTATGAGAACTGCTTTCTGTCACAGCAGCTTCCACACCGGTGAGAAGTCCTCCAACAGCCAAAGTTGCACCAAAAAGACCTGCATCGTCCTCCACAGTTTCCACATCGAAGTCTGCATCTGCATCGAAACCTGCGTTCTCTCTGAGCCCAGCAGGGGGCAAGTTACCCAAATGGACCCCACCAGGTGCAGTATGGGTGCACTACAGCAGTAAATATAAACCTCTCTGGACACTAATTGTATGTTTTCAGTAAATTTAACACTTATGTAATTACTCTTTTATCCCCAGCTCAAATTGGTAGAAGCCCCTCTTCATCCCAGAGTCCAGCAGTGAAGTCTCCAGGTCAAGGTCTGCGGCTGGGCCTGTCCCGTCTTGTCCGGGTGAAACCTCTTCACCCCAGCGTTACGAGTCACTGACTGACTGATTGCCAATCTGGATGCCCCCCCTACATGTGTCAGTTCTTGCTGTCCTTTTAGCTTAATCACAATTTTTTTTAAAAAAGATGCTTGTAAACAATCATTTTCCTTTATTTGTGCTACTATAGATTTAAAGTGATATGTTTTCACATGATGCTCGCAGCTTTGGGAAATTACGCAACTTGCACCTTGAGCTATTATTCTGCTATATATAGTGAAAAAAGCTCATGGAACAGTCAAATGTGTGCTTTGTGGACTCTGGGGACTCAAGTCATAGATTGTTGCCATTGTCACATTATTATTAGTACAGGTTAATGTGTCTATAGATATTCAGATTGTTTGATCCCCCACATGGGAGTTCACATCTCACATTCAGGAAGAACTATGGTTGGTAAGACTGGCATTTAATTGTTTGTTTGTTTGTTTGTTTTTTAAACCAGGCTCATCATTTTCTCCCCTTTCTCTTATTGTGTGCAAATACTGTATATTATGTACATATATATATATAAAATAAAATGTAAAAGCAAAAAAAATTTGCATGAGCTGCTGATGTAAATAGGAAGAACAATGAATGCAATTAGCTGCTATACTGTATATCAAAAGTGTTTTTTGACAGATTTTTCTCACACGGTTGCTTGAATTGGACCTAAAAAGGTGCCAGTACCCTAATAAACCAGAATCCTACAATATAATCTTAACCCTAATCCTTTTGCCGTTTTTTTAATCTATGTAGTGCTGGTACCGGAGAGTCGGACCATTTCAGGCACTGGTTTCACACATTTTTCTTTTTCACTGATGACTAATTGGTTCAGGAAATAGTCCAAAATGTAAGGCTGCATTTGAATGTATCTGCCAAACCAAAAGCTCCCTATAAAGCTGTGAATAGTTGTTTTTACACGTTGTTTCTGGACTTATTAAGCAAAATATGTTAATTAGTGGAGCTAGAGCTTTAGAGGAACTCTGGTATTCAGATTTTATTGCCTTTGGGCAGAACCAGGCTAGCTGTTTCCCCCTGATTCCAGTCTTTATGCTAAGCTAAGCTAACCAGTTGCGAGAGTGGTATCACTCTCCACCAGAAAATGAGTGCATTTCCCAAAATGTCAGACTAGTACGGAAGCCGAGAACGACCATGCTTGGGATTAGTGAGATCATGAGTTAAATGATCTTAAGAAAACATTTTTTTTTAATTGCATGCACAGCTGTTCCCTGCATCTGCAAGTTGGACCTCCAGAGCGCTCTTAAATTTAAGAGTAGCAGGGGTAAAATGAAGGAATTTTAGGTATACTTTCATCTTTCCTTTTAGCAGTTTGATGAACACAGACTCTGAAGTCATTACTGAACTGTAAAGAAGATTGTGATCTCAGATTGCAGATATCGACCCAGATCTGCTATTATCTCTGTGATTGGGTCATATCACTGCACGGCCTGAGGGATTATGACTTTTAACATCCCCAGTGGCCCTCGGTGTCTTTTATCACATACAGTATTCTGCAGGAAGTTGAGAACACTGGAAAATGTATCTTGTGTCTGAAAACACAAAGCATGTATGAACTCTACACCTTCACTATCAGCCAGCAGGGACTCCTCCCCTCACCTTTCTGCTTTACTAATACTGTTTACCAAGTTGCTTAAGAGCACGTTAATGAAGTGGTCGATCATCAGGTTTTCAGGCCAATATTTGATCAAGTCTGGCTAGAGTTGGCTAGAAATTACAACCATTGTTTCACACAATGGACACAGATATTCAGGAGGTGTTCCCAAATGATTATTTTTTATTGTGTGCTATGTCCTTACTCTGAAGATGAAATCAGGATGTTATAATTACATGGAAATGTTTCCCAAACACTGCAAATAGCTCTTCAGCTATGCTACATATTTGTCCTCTCAGATGACACAAAGGCAGACAGATGGTATATTGTGTTCCAGATGATACAAGGATGTAAAATCCTGTTTCAGCTTATTGAGAAAAAAACAAACAAAATCAACATGTCTTCATAAGGTTACCACAGGCCTACAGAACAACTTCAATGCTCCGAACTAATTTTAAAAAGTAAGAAAAATTTCCAAGTGAGACAGAATAAGAATACAATACAATAAATTGATTATATCCAATATGGAACCTGTAGACATGCAATGACTAAAAATATATAAGTTCCCCAAGTCATGATAGCAATGAAGACTTCAGTTACAGACTCAAAGGAAAGTTGTGACAGATTTTATTATAGTAGATAATAATAATCATTAATACATTCACCAATATTTCTCCTCTTTTAATTTCCTTTAATAAGATGAATGGGTGTCCTGAATTCTACAGGTGTGGTGTTGAATCTGTGTTGGGACTTTAAATTCCCTAACATCATTTCCATAATTCCCATGAAACCAGTGTGTGGCTCCTAGCAACGTTATTTGTTCATACTCATTACTGTGAGTCACCATGTGTAGTTCACTGAAAGAAACAGATACTCATTTGGAATAAACAAATTATGTGTATATAAGAAAAAAAAAGGGTGGTGTGTGTATCTGTCTGGCATTGTTTTAATGATAACCATTGATATGACAGAAGGGCTAAAGCAAACCTTTAGGATGATACAAAGCAGATTATAATACTGAGAATTATGTTTTATATAATTTGTCAAAGAACCAACAATCTTTATGTTCAGATTTTACAACTCAGTGTTGAAACCAGACAGTACTGTATGTCTGTTTGTTTATATAGAACAAGATTTGTGTCATTTTTACTTCAAATTTAGTTTAGTTTTGTGAGATAAAAAACAGAAATTGATTTAGTAAATGTGGCAAAGACTGAGATGGGTGTTCAAGTACAAAACATTTAAATTAGCCACTTTTACTGAACATAAACCTTTAGCATTTCCTTCCTGTCCCCTGCTATTTTGGGTACAATTTAGTGAAACATTTGTTATTTTTAAGAATTATTTGCAAATGTTTGGCATGCCAAAGAATTAAATCTTGACTTGAATAACTTTTCGTTCATTTGTTTGCTTCTTGTAGCTATAGGATACAAGGGGAACATGATATGGACTGGATCAACCCTGTGAGATTGTCCTTCACTGAGGCAAAACATTTGATTCTCAGCATGATCAAACCTGAAAAACCACACTTGTCAGACATGCTGTTATCAGACAGGTCAAAGAATATATGTAATATGTAATAGTAATAGTTTTCTGTCCTTTCAATCCTGTTCCTGTCACCTGCAGAGTACTGCTGGTTTTTTATCCTCCCAGGTAACTACAGCTAATGGTTTACACCTTGCACCACAGGTGTAGTGCAACGACCAGGCAGCCCAGTGAAAACCTATACGTCCTGGAAATCTGGTGTGAACCTCAGGCTATCAGATAACACAGTAATGGTGTGTCAATGTGTGTGACTGGATTTGTGTAAGTGTGTATGTGGAAGGGGTGGAGAGAAAGGAAAAGGAGAGAGAGCACCTGAAATTAAAGGCAGGGGCATAGTTCTCCTCCCATTCTTTCAATGCGAGGTAAAACAAACCACATACAATGCACAGAAGCCCCAGGATGAGATCTGGCTGGATTAAAGGATTACTTTTGGTCTTAGCTGTGGCTACGGCTCTGGTATACCTCGGCTCCATTAAGAGGGAAGTACATACCCATTCGGAGAGACTCCAGAGGGCCCACCATAATGACTCCATCAGGGGTCAGGGAATGCTCAAGAGGATGGAGAAGATGGAGGCAGACATTAACAGGCTGCGTGAGTTAAAGTCTCATCTGGTTCAGAAAGAAATCCAAGTATAAAAACTTGATTTGATACTTGATTTAAACACTGATTTGGTGATTTGTAGGTCAAAAGATGTAAATGTCTTGATTGAATCTGGGCTGAATTTGGAGGAACAGTTAAGTTAAGTTAAGTTAAGTTAAGTTAGACATTTAGACAAACGCAGGAAGTACATTTACTCAAGTACTGTTCATACGTTTTGAAGAGTTGACTTAATGCCGTGTTGTGTTACTCTTTAATCCACTACGTTTCTTTGACAGCTTTAGATACATTGCTGATTTAAACTATGAATACAAAATATAATCAACTCATAAATTATAATGTTTTACTATAGATGAAGTTACAGTAGCATATGAATTTGTTACAATTAACAGAGTATTGTTACTTTTACTTAAGTAAAAGATCTTATACCATTGCTTGCTCTTTAAGTTCTGTAATTAAAATGCAGTTTGATTAAATGTATTAATTGCTTTGCCCATAAAATATGATGTGGCATTTTCAAATTTCTTGTTTTATCCGACAAACAGTCAAGATAATCAGTTTACTACCATATATCCCGAAGGAAAGCAGCATATCCAGAGATTTTTTGGCATTTTTGCATGAAAATGGACTGAAATTAATCAATCCAATTATTGTTTTGTTCATCCACTCATAAATTAATCAGAAACTTTCACTTTCCAATCTAACTCAGCCTGGTTAGGACTGACCTGTTAATCACCAAACCAATTCCTACAGTATCAATTTCAGTCACACAATACAGACTGATTGTGTATCGCCAGTGCAAACCACTGACTGCTATTTGTTAATGCACTAGGAGATGTATTTATGTTTCAGGGAGGAGCACCCGTTTGTTCAAACATTAGTCCCCTGTTACACAAAGCAGAAGAATGAGAAGGGTAAAACACATGCTTTAAATAAATATATCTTCTGTTCACAGTCGGTGTAATGAATAATCTCGAAAAGAAGGAACCAGCGCCACAGATGATTGCAGAGGTGAAGAAGGAGAGGAAGCTGGTGAGGAAGTTGTATCCAAACTCGGCTCTGTTCAGCAAGTGGGGCGATGAGCTGTCAGAGGAGGAGCAGAAGGAGGCCGAGAGCTTGTTTCAGAGATATGGCTACAACGCCTTCCTCAGTGACAGGCTGCCCCTCAACAGAGAGATCCCTGACACCAGGCCCCTCAGGTGATCCTAACTTCCTGCTCATGTGGGGAAACTAATAGTTAAATAAACAATTAACTGCTTTATGATGCCTGTTTGGTTTGAGGCCAAGGCTGGTATAGTTAACGGAGCAGTGTGAAGGATTTAGGGGCATTTATCAGTTTCAGACTGCAACTAAATAAATACAAATACCCTGCATATTATAAGAATAAAAAAATGCAAACTAAAACTCCATAAAAATAAATTAAATGAAACATTTTTAAACAATAAAAAATTAACTAAACCCACTCTGGAAACTTAATGAAACTAAGCTGAATTGAAAAAAATAAATAAATAAATAAATAAATAAATAAATAAATAAATAATAATACAAAAATATAATATAAGAACTATCCAAGACACATGCTAATTTTACTAAATTTTTACAACTTCCCTCAATAGCTGAGAAATCCATCAACATGTAAAGTTCTTTTACACAGATAATCTGCTATAAATGAATGATTTCTGAGTAATATGAGCTTTATTTAGAAACAACATGCGACATAATAAATTACTTTTGACCAGATATTCAGTCACTGTTCCTATTTTCAGAGGTTATGAAGGCAGTTGGTAGATGTTAACTGAATGCTTTTGATTACTTTATGACATTTTATAGACCAAACAATCAATTAATTAAGAACATAATCAACAGATTATTAAATAATGAATATAACAGTTGCAGCCCAAACTGAAATACAGCAATTTGAAAATGCATCAAAATTGTTTCTTATGGCCATGATTGAAAATGACTTTTCAAATCATTTAATACTTTTTTGCCCCTCACAGGTGTGCTGAGAAAAAGTACCCTGAGGATCTGCCCACAGTCAGCGTTGTGTTAATCTTCCTGGACGAAGCTCTTTCTGTCATCAAAAGAGCCATCCGCAGCATCATAGACAAGACACCAGCTCGGCTGCTGAAAGAAATCATACTGGTGGACGATCACAGCACTAACGGTAGGTCGAACTGCTGTGATAAAACTTAGCAGATTATTCTAAGATGTACAGTTGTAAAGTGTTACTTGAACTTTTCCCAAGTTACTCAAGAGCTCTTACTCCTAGAGGTAAGTGGCAAACGGCTCCAGATATTTTGAATATTTGCATCTAAGATTTCTGCTGCCAAGACAGTATGATTTATGGAGCTCACAATGCTATTCATTTGCATTTAGACAATTTGCTGGCAGAAACAGTTTTATAGTTTAATTCTGAGGTAGGCCACAGACCTTCCTCTAAACAAACATATTTAGAAATACACTTGTGAAGACAGTAAAAGGTTGTTCCGCCCTGAAAGATTTCAAAATGTAATTACACACTGTTGAAATAGGGAGTTTTCCATCAACACAGTGTTATTATATTAACTTAGTACAATTAACACAGTCTGTGTGTTAATTGTAACTTGTTATGTCCTAATGGCATTTGCCAGAATACACCATTACACCACACTACTTTAGTGTGCGGCTTTGGGAGGAGCTGTGCAAACACAATGTCTGAAAAACAAAGAATGAGTATAGTACAAAACACACATGTAAACGCATCCTGGCTCCACACGGAGCTTCTGGCTCATCATGTTTAAAGCCAAGTTGTGGTGAAACGACCTGGGGCTTAGTGAGGCTCTCGCACTGGAGAGCGAGCCCTACAAGGGATGAGGTTCCGCAGGTTAACCGGCTCCTTCTTCAGCCGTACAAATTTTCCCAAAATGTCAAAACTAAAATGTCAAACCTTCCTATAAATCTCATTTTTCACCGTTATGACCACCACAAATAAAATTCCATTTACTCTCATTGTATTGGAGCTACGAAAATCTGGTGGTGGTGGCCAAATAACCCCAAAATATGGCTATACCACTAGGGTTGAATTAAATTTTAGTATTTCAAGTGAACCAGTCCTTTTAAGGCTGGCTATTTCACAATCCAACAATGAGACACTGGCGGGTTGATTGATTGATATCGCCAACTGATCGCCAAAGGTATAACTACACTGAATCTACAGTTCAAATTAAACCGGTTCATGACATAAAATCTTTACTTCCTGCAGAGGATTTAATGGAGAAACTGGATGAATACATCAACTCCATCAACGAGGAGTATCCAGGCCTGGTGAAGAAAGTCAGGCACGCTGAACAGCTCGGCCTCACCCAGGCCAGACTGTCGGGTTGGAAAGCTGCTGTAGGGGACGTCGTTGCCATCTTGGATGCTCACATAGAAGTCCACGTGCAATGGTTGGTTTAAGTTGCCACATTTGAATTGTCTTTGGGTGTTGCTATGTTACAGGGGTGATTATGTTGTCATAAGAAGTTTGTTGTTTTTTCAAGTCATGCTGCACAAGTTAAACTGTTGCTGTGTGTCCAGGGCAGAGCCATTGTTAGCACGCATCAAAGAGGATCGGACTGTGATATTGACACCAGTGTTCGACAACGTCAGATTTGATGACTTGACACTGATTCCCTATGTGCCCGCTGCGGACGCCTTCGACTGGGCTCTGTGGTGCATGTATGAGTCCTTCAGACCTGAGTGGTACGCTTTAAAGGACGAGTCGCTGCCTGGCAAGTGAGTTCAAGTTTAAAGAGTCAGTTCACCCAAAATAACTAAAAAAGCTTTTTCTTTTTTTTACTCCTTTAACTATAGTGGTATCTAGGAAAGTTTTGTGGGGGTTTTAAGTAGAAAGATTTGAGAATTACCTTTGGAAAGTTCATCAGCAGCACGTTTCTGCAGAAGTTAAGTCGGATAATCAAAAGCCCAAACAATATTCTACTGGAGGTAAATATTGACTGCAGAGCTCTGTGGGTTATTTAATAAAAACAACAGAAAAACCTTTGCGTATATATATTATGATATTCAGCAAACACTGTGTGTGTGTGTGTGTGTGTGTGTGTGTGTGTGTGTGTGTGTGTGTGTGTGTTTTGTAACAAATGCAAAATTATTTTAGTCATAGTTTGCTTGAATGCTTTTGTTTTTACAACACTGGGGCAATGTGTGTAGTGATTACAGACTGACCTAAACTGCTCTTTCCCATGAATCATGCAGGCCCCTTCCACGTTGGTAAATTTTGGAGATGTTTTTGTCCACAGATTTAACCGGATGATAATAATATTCATACGGTCTCCTTTTTCCATATCAAAACAATATGTAAGAAGGTACATAGAACTGCATACAATGCCTCAATCTGCAAGAAAACCTGCAGACAGATATTCCTTTTAGACAGTTTTAGAGGTATTTTTGACTAACTGGGCTACACTGGCACATCATTATCAAACAAAACTGAGCTATACTTCAGAGTGACCTCACTCATCTTTGTTTTCAGAATGCTTTTTTTTTAAATCATCTCTTATTCTGAAAGTCAAACAGGTACACAGCTATTTACCAGCACTTAAGTTACCTGTTTAATGATAAAATAAAAGGCACCTTTAACTGTTTCTGTGGACACTGTACACACAGATCCAATGTTGTCAAAACTGGGGGCTTTGACTCTGCAGTATTTGTAAAATACCTGAATTGCAGAAGATTCAGATATCAAAAACCTCAAGAAATGAAACCAGAACTTGTGACTTTGGGGGAACTACTTGTTAACTACTCTCAATTTAATTCAATTAATAAACTGTAGTTTGTGTTTTCATTATAAAATAAATTAAATAGGGTCCTGCCAACACTCTTATAGAGGGTAGAAGCTACATATTGCAGCTTCTTAATGTATCATATTGTGTCCTCAGGAGCCCCTCCATCATGGGGATTCTTGTAGCCGATCGCAAGTTCTTCGGAGAGATCGGAAGCCTTGATGGTGGAATGAAAATATATGGTGGTGAAAATGTGGAGCTCGGCATCCGGGTGAGATTACTGAAACGCGATGCCCAAAAATAACTGCATCAAGTTTGCTGTAGATGTGGAACGGCCGTTGAGAAGTTACTTGTTAAGCAAATGATGAACAAATGTGCTGTCATCTGTCTGTGTTTACTTGTTGACTCAGTTGATGTCTGAATAGCCAGAAAAGCATGCTGTCTGCAATATGGGACTGGATGCAGTAGGAAATCCTGGTATTTTTGGCATACTGGATTTGATGTACTATGTTTTGGGCAATACAAAAATATTTTTCTGGCATAGTGAATAGTATGGTAGTACGGGTATTGGGAGGCACCCCTGGTGTTCGCTGTGTAGCTGTTTGTTTGAAGAAACCCATACAACCCAAAGAACAATCTAAATCATACAAGGTCGTTCCAGGATATAAGTTCAGGGTGTGTCCCTTTCCTTTGTCTACTATATGTATGCATGGGATAGGCTAAGGGGAAATAACATTTGACTATGTATATACCAACATTACTGGACTCCCTGTTTTAAAAGACTGTTCTCTGTACAGTATGTTTCTTTGTTTAATGTTATTTTTTGCTTGAAATAAGCTTAATGCACACAGTATGTGTTTAAAAATGCCCTTAAATTCTACTTCTTTCATTTGGCAGGTGTGGCTATGTGGAGGAAGCGTAGAAGTTATACCTTGCTCTAAAATTGCACACATTGAGCGAGCCAGAAAGCCTTACCTCCCAGATTTGAGTGTAACCATGAAACGTAACGCGTTGAGAGTGGCAGAGGTGTGGCTGGATGAATATAAATACAATGTCAACATTGCCTGGAACCTTCCCTTGGAGGTAAGCCATGACCCCTCATTATGCAAATAAATGACAAATACGTCAATTGGGCTTCATAAAAGAGTGCTCTGGAGGATGTGACTAATGCAAACACACTGTTGTTCCTGTTACTTATCAAACTTTTTTGTGGCCTTTTTTATCTTGACGTTTCTCACAGAATCATGGCATCGACATTGGGGATGTGTCCGAGAGGAAAAAGCTGAGAGAGAGGCTGAATTGCAAGCCTTTTAAGTGGTATCTAGATAATGTTTACCCCATGCTGGACCCTCTGCACAACCTGCTAGGTTATGGAGGGGTGAGTAAAAACTATGTCAGATGTGATGACTCTGCAATATTCTGAATATTTCCATTACTAATATCATATTTTCTACACAATTTTATATCATCATTTTATATCATCTACCAAAACCTGCTCTCTTATGAACCCATTGCACACATTTGTGAGTACCACTAACCATGGCCATCTAACAGAGATGATAATTAAAAGAAACAGAATTTTATTTTAATTGTATATGAAGGGGTAGTTTAAGCTTTAAAAATAAAGATCTAGATTATATTTTTGACATCCTGTTGCAGGATGGAGCAGCTTGTCTACTTGTTACCTATCATCACAGGTTGAACACGTCTATGTGTAATGACGATTGATTTTTACATTTTGCTCGTTGTTCCACAAGTTTTAGAGTCCTAAAGAGGAAAACTTATCCAATAATTCACAAAAGGAAATAGCTGAACAGCTGAAAAAAATTTTGTGTTAAATAAATATTCCTTTCTTCTGTTTTCATATCCTGTAAACCATCTTTTTAACTCTCAGTTTTAGGGCCCTGACTCCATGGAACCACTGACATAAATGATACTGTGATAGACTTGTATCAGCCCCTTACACCCCTAAATAGGATAATCAGTACAGTATGCATGGATAAATAGGAACAAAAAGACATTTTTTTGTTCCTACAGAATATAGCACCACCACAACCTGTTTGTCAAACATTAAAGGATAAATCTGGTTAAATTCTATATTGCTCTTATTGATGTTTTGAGTCAATCCCACAGTGCTGCTGAAAACAGTCCATGTTTGCTTATTAGCCAGTTTTAAAAATGAATCTATGTCTGTGAACTGTTTTCTTTGTTGTTTTTTTAAGATTTATGTCTTCAATAAGAACCAAAAAACATGAAGTGTGATGTAAATCTCCTCATCCTCCATTAACTGCAGAGGTAGCACAGACCTCTGGTTGGTTTTGGGTTTTTTTTGGTTGACGAAGAAGATATATTGCTTGATGATAATGTAAGTTGTGCCACTATTTCTAATGCATGATTTAAAGGGTTACTTTCTATTTCTGCTTATATTGGTAGCTGACGAATGACATTAAGCCAGAGCTCTGTATTGACCAAGGCCCAATGCCAGGGAACACACCCATTGTGTATGCCTGCCACCACTACTCACCTCAGGTATGTTCAGAGATTCACTACATGCACACAGACTGTGATATTTTTTGTTTGTGGATAATTATTGTTCTTTGGTGTAGCACTGTTATTATCGTACTGATGGACAACTTTACATCGGTGGAATCAAATCCCACAAGTACAACAGCAACCGCTGTCTGGTGGACACCGGCACTGGAATCTACCCGGGACTGTACGAGTGCAAAGTAGCCCAGCAGAAGAAATTCCACATGCTGTGGGATTTTAAACAGGTATATATCTGAGTTTTTATATATAAATCCACACAGTTGTTCTGTTTGGAGAAAAAGAAATGTGTTTTATTGTTGTGTGGTATTTTATTCCCAGAACGGACCTATCCAGAACAGAGAAACAAAGAGATGTCTGGAAGTTGCGATGGGTGAAGACAGCTATTACAAACTTGTTATTCAGCAGTGCAGTGGTCAGAGCTGGAAGATACAAAATCTCATCAAAGGCCATTGAAAGATTGGTGGACAGGGCCCAGAAGACAAGACATTGTTGCACAAAAAACTGCACCTCATGTCAGAGAAAGATCTAGAATGACTGCTTGTCTCTGGGGTGACTTGACATTTTGCACTAGATCACGGAGAGGAAGTGATCATTTTTATTTTATTCTTAGTTTTTTTTATTTGTAATTTATCATTGTGACACAAAATATTGAGTACAAAAGGGTGCTCATATTATTTTCTGTTAGTTTTTGTGTGAAATTCTGTCATGCTGTGGATGATTTTGAATACTCCCCAGAGCATCCTAAATGACCTACCGATCGTTTTTCTCATCAGCACGCAAGTTTAATGTAAAGTTCGTTTAAAAAAAAAAGAACAAAACTCCCTGAGAGTTTAACACACCAACCTTCCTTTCTATATCAGACAAAACATCCCTCAGGGTACGTTAAACTCTTTTCAGCCTATTCTTTACAGACAAACAGTAGTTCCAGTGAAGCATGTCGCATTGAATTTAAATGAAGGCGCTAATGGCCAATATGTTTGACTTAAATTATGTCTTTACATAATAGTGCTAAAGTAAAGCAAACAGGATCTGTTTGTGTCGCCGTCATGACTGATCAACAATGAAGGCATCCCATTTTCTCTGCCACATGGCGTAACCTGTGTCTTTCAGTTGAGCTGGCAGGGAGCTGTACCTGCAGGCAGAAAAAAACTCATATTATAAAAGGTTGGAATATTATTGGAAAAGTTAATTATAGGCTTTTAACGTGGGCTTGCTTGGCTAAAAATATCCACAAGTTTTACACCATAAACTAGGAATCATATTCTTTACTACTTTCAAAGCCTAAACTTCCTACAGCCTTTGATTTCTATTAATTTCTGATATGAACTTGCTTTTATCACAAGATCAATATTTTCATATAGTTCTTGCAGAAGACATTCGTTCATCACATACATTATTCTTGTGCTGCAACAGTTTTAAGAGATCCCTTTGAATTTCTCTCTGGTGATTCATTCAAAGAACAGAAGACAATCAGTAAGCAAATATGCACATTGTGTAAAAGACAATGACATTTTGGTTGTTTCTTGGAATACAAATGTCAGTATTCTGGGGCCTGTTTCACAAAAACATTATTGTACAACCTGTGTTCACACCACTATTTAATGTCAAAGTGGCTCTGTTATAGTCATACTTAAGAGCTTTGATATTAAAGTTCCTTTTTAAGTATGCTTTAACTATCTTAATGTCATTCTCAGTTTCTGTTTACACCTACAATTTTGCTTTTTTTATGAGAAGCATGCTGAATGATAAAGCCTCTCAGTAGGGTGCTGTGGGTTACATAACTCTATATATGGATTCATTTAACTTCTTAGGGCTTCCTTAAACTCATTAAATCTCCATCTAGGCATTCACTGAAAGGCAGCACCTCCAGGCTTAACTAAAGTGTGATTCTGAGACACTCTTGCTTTTGGATTTAACATTCTCCAGACATCTCTCAATACTTTGAGTTTCCTATAACCTGTCTGTGGTTTTCAACCCCATTTATTCCTACTGAATACATACATGTTTTAAAACAGGTCATTAATATACACTTTATTTTTTCCCAGACTGGCAGTGTTTAGTAGCTGTTAGTCTCCAGCAAATGCACTATTTACTCCTGTCTGATTATTTGCAGCTGTAGATTAATGCACAATTGATTTAAGGTACCCAGACAGTGAATGTGGGATAAAAATAAACTACTGTGATCATGCTCATCAACATGAAGGAACTTGTCACCCAGTGCAACAGAGTGGCTCACTGATTGTTTTTAAATTAGACAATAATGGAGCTCTATGGTTCAGAAGAATACGATATATCAGGCTTTAGATACAGAAAGTAGGATCAATTGTTTGGGATTTGTTGACAATAAGAAAAATCACCTGCCTCTGAAAACATATTAGTATAGTTTCTTCTCACCTGATAGAGTTAACAGCCAGCTCTTTCAGAGTGCCCAGGTTTGCTTTCAACCCTCCGATGCCGACAAAGGCTTCATAGAAGTCGTAGGAGAGGCCTGTGGTGCCGAACAGGGACGGATCATCAGAGCTGATCACCATCGGGTGGCCTTCAGACATCAGCACAGCTGCGGGGTGGTTCCTAAGGTCCGATACCAGCTTCAGCACCTAGGGGGGTCAGAGGTCAAACACACCCAGGTACTATATATATGAAGACAGGGAAATGTCCAGATTTCACTGCATTTGCAGACTTATCAGACTTAACTGGTGCTGAGGTCCACAAGCAGCCATGAGCAAACTTTTTGTTTACTTCAAGAGAGTCCATTTAGGGTGCAGACTAAATATGAAAGAATATGCAAACATTTTCTTTGTTGTATTTTGCAAAGCTTCGTCAAAGTTTTGTTTTTGTCCATGAACAGTGTGAGGATCCTCAGTTGACCCTGCAGATATAAGTTGTTGGTAGAGGACAAGTGTGCATCTAGTGAAGTTGTAGATTGCAATAAACTGACCAGCACTTGTGTTTGTCATGACCTGGAAATGAGAACAGGTTGTGAAGTACGGTGGCTGCAAAACCCACAAAAGAACTATCTAGTTCTGTAGATAAAAGCAGGTCACTCTAAGGTAACAAAAACACAAAGATTCCTATGTTCAAGTGATTATACACTAATAAAAAACATATATAATATTATATTCCATTTCTGTTATGAAAAAATACTTAAATAATGAATCACAGGGTCAGGAATTTCAATTAATCTCAGGTCTTTATGTGATGACAGTGAGCTACGATGAGCAGTGGACATTTCAGATCCAGATCCAGAAATAATCTTTTCTATTGTGCCAATGGCAATAAGTTATCTGACCTGGTTTGAGATGGGGCACAGCTCCACAGCCACATTTCTTTTCCTAGAAAGCTCTTTGGCAAGTGGATGGTGTGCCAAGGCGTAGCCGTGGCCAATGCGTGTGGTGTTGAAGAGAAGGGCGTCAAGAATGTTTTGATCTACGTCGGTGCCTTCATCATCTACCAACAAACACACACAGTGGGAACCAAAGTACATTTTAAAAGACTTTTCAAACTTTGGAAAGGCTACAATGTATATTATTCTTTCGATCCACCCACCCGTCTCCCCTGCGTGAAAGAAGTATGGCAGCGTGACACCGAGTTCAGTTGGCAGAGAAAGTGCCTCCCTGAAGTACCAAAGAGTCCTCCCACTGTCCTCCCTGCCAACCTGCCAACCACAATGTTAGCTTAAAGACAACCACATTAAACTGTCACAACTAACGAGAGAAATTATTTCCACTTAACAAGAGCCTATCGTTTGAAGAGGTTCAACAAGACAGATTGCTTCCTACCATGTCAAATCCTGCAACAACATCTGGGAAGTCCTTTTGCAGCTGAATGGCCTCTTTCACGGCCGCTTTGACCTCAGATACACCCAGAGCCCTGAAGAAAGCAGCAGTGATAATGAAACACAGACGTGAGCACTCTATTTGACCGATACAGCAAGACTCACAAACAAAAAAACCTACTGTAGATTTGTGAGTATACACTGTTATCATTTGTGTCATTTATAGCTGTTTGTGTATTACTTAAGTGTCAAGTACAGAAAAACAGCCTAACATAACTGCTGAGCAGGGGCGGGGCGGATCTAGAGAAATATTCATGAGATGACCAGAGGGTGGCATGGAAAGATTTTTAATTACAAATAATCACATATATCAGTATTTGCTTGGAAAAGCCCCCAAATTGAGCTATTTTAACTCAAAAACATTACATTATTGTGTCACACTGTATAGAAATATCCATCTATCTTTTTTTCATTAAACTTAAAGCCGTCACTTAGTCTAAAATATTGCCACAACAGATCATTAAATTAATTTTAAACACACGTTTGTTTTTTATTAATCTAAATTAATGTGTTGAATTTGACGACACAAAACTAGATCTGCCCCCGAGCGCTGTCACACACACTGATACGACTACTTCTGGAAACATAATTAGTTAAACAAATTACCATAAAGTTATGGAACTTGCTAGAAACAGCTTAAACAAGACTGAGACTCTACAGCCAGTGCTTTGAGTTGCATGCTAACTTGCTCACAATGACAGCATTACAGTAACAAACTGTCTCTAAACAGGTATAATTTAAAGTTAAGTTGAGCTTTATCACCATCTTAGTTTAGCATGTTAGCATGTTATCATTTGCCAGTTGGCACTAAAGAGAGCATACTGCTGAGGATGAAGGTAATGTAATTAGATTTGCAGGTACTGGACACATTAAAATGTTCATAAGCCCGGGATCTTACAATTCCCATAATGCAATTAAATTGTGTTTTTTCTATCACATCTATCAGACTCCACACCCTCATTTTGCAACGCAGGCTTTCCATTATATATTTGTAGTCTCAAACCCTAAGATGAGATAAGATTATGACTATGACTCTGTGACTTAACAAAGCTCCTCAAGGGCACCAGCAGACATACAAATATGTACCTAATTGGTGGAGTGCCCCTTTAATAACTATAATAACTCTATAGCCATTTCCATTTCCATTTCCAGAAAACAGGAAACATAAAATAAAGAGATAATATAATTAATTATAGTTACAGAATTAACTGTAATTTTTTCAAACTGGGACATGGTTACAGTTAAATTAGAGCTTTAAAGTGGCACATCGTCCCCACTTTGGTTAACTTATTTGGATTTTCTGTTCAAGTAGTTCAAACAGCATCTTATTCTGTTATCTGTGTGTTACATTAAAATTATGCAGTGGTGGAAAGTAAGCACATTTCCTCAAGTACTGGTTTTGTGGTACAGTTTTATACACTTTCAACTTGAATATTTCTTCTACTTTATAAATTGTACTTTTCACAACACTGCTATATATACACAGTATATATCGTATACCAGTCTCATTCTGCATTAAAATGAGAGGAAATATGTCTTATTTGACATCAGGTCACACTACACAGAGTGGAATTTGAATGTCGCCTTAACATATTGTTTCTGTGATCTTACTGGTAGATACCTGTGAACAGAAATGATGATACGAGCCCCGAGAAAGTCTGGATGATCTGCTATAAACTTCTTTGTAACTTCCTGAAATGTTTTCAGAGTCCAGACCTTATTGTGAATGGTTCCATCAAGCTCATACGTCTGAAACACAGTAAAAAAAAAAAAAGTTTGATTGGATTTGAAGATATGACATTTGTAATAACACTATTACAGTCCAGAAATACAGAAATGTCAGAGCCACCACAACTGCTACTGTGGCTCATTGAGAGAGGCTGGAGCTGGTGGAGAGATAGTAAGCAAAAAAACCAAATACAAACCCTTGAGAGGCCACTTCTAAGTTCCAGATACATGATGTTGTCAAGCTGAAGCTCCCCTAGGCCCTTATAAAAATAGTCTTTCAGTACTGGGGCATGAGTGATTAGTCCAGCGGCTGCGATAAAAGCTTTCTCAAACTTCTCCCAAACCACATCTTGGCTTGGGTACTCCCCATCTGGATCCTCGGTAAATAGTGTAAGGTGCTGCATTAAACTAAAAAAAACAAATAATCTGGGTTAAGTTCTTCCATATCTTACTTGAAATGTGTAAAGGGAGGGTGATATCTTACTCAACCTGTTATCAAAGCCTTTAGGGTCTCCTATTTTGGCTCTCAGGGTCTCAAGCAGCTGCCAGTAGAAGCAGTCCCACCGCGGGAAAGGCTGGCGGTCGGAGAACAAGAAGCGGACCGAGTTGTCCCACGTGAAGCAGATGTAGCAGTGTGGCCTGTAGGTGACGTTTTTAACCAGCCACTCAACACTGACCAGAGAGGAGCTGTGGATGTGGAGGGCTGCACCTGTCACCAAAAAAACAACAGGATATAACCTCAAACTGATGTACTGAACCGAGACAGTAAAATGAAGATCCCAAGTTACCAATAGGTGTTGTGACCACATTGACATAAAACAATAAGTTACACGCAGGTGATTCCCATGACACTCATTAAAGTTTAAACCACAGTAAAGAGTAACAGCGCCCTAAGGCTGTTTAAGCCCAGTGGAGTTGAACCATAAATAGTATCCTTGGTAACATCTGTGAACAGTTATGTTGTGCCCTTCTGTAGTAATTCTGTCTGTTTTGTGGTGCATGTAACTTTGTAGTCTAAGATTTTGTCTGTAATTTTTTGTCTCTTTGTCTTTGTGGTCGTTTTGCATGTCTGTAGTCGTATTGTGTCTCTAATTATTCTGTTTGAATTCGTTTTTTGCATCCTGTTGTCTTGTTGTCGTTTGCATCTCTTCAAATGATGTTGTGCAAGAGAACCAGGCTCAGGTTAGCTCAAAAACAATATTTAGTTCAGATGAAGAAAGACTGACTCTTGTCCAAAGCTACCTGCCAAAATAGATATTATATAAAATATTACAGGAAATCAACAAAGAAAGCCTGAGATTCAAGTTCTATTTTCTTAAATCTACTTTGTTGTCAACTGATATTTAGAACAAATATATAATTTATTAATGTTACTGTATTTTAATTAAATGTTGCTGTAGCCCCAGTATGCTGTGCAGTTATAATGAGAAATAAAAAACTAAGAAATCAAATATTGTATAAGATTTTGCAGGGGGGTCCCCATGACCTCCTGGAGCCCTGACCCTGTGCCCAGTGGGCCCTGTACATCCATGCTTGTGACGTCACCTTTAGGCATCTTCTGCAGCAGTTTGAAGATTGAACTCTTCTGGATGTGAGGCTTTGCTTTGAAGTAGTGTAGAGCTGGGGGGAACTGTGCAGCAGACATCTCTTTCTCCTTTAACTGATGGAGGTAAGCGTCCAGCTTCTGCTCGGCCGCTGTCAACGCCACCCGGCCTCCCGTCTGTCTGGATGCCTCCTGACGCATCAGCAGGTCCCTCTGAGCAGGGTCAGGCATCCCATCAGTCACTCTTACAAACCACAGAAGGAGCACATAAGTGACCACAGCCTGGCAGATTGAGATCACCATGTCCTTATGTGCCACAAGAGGGTGCTAGAACATGATCACAGGAGCTGGATTGCTGGATTTGCTGCTGTAAGAAGAGAAATACTCAGCGTGAGACATGAACTAATGACATTAAAGTCTTTCTGCCTCGGCGGAGAAGTCTGTGTAATTTTTGTGGCGTAGCGGGTAAATAAATTTGACAAACTTCTTTTAAGGTCATCAACATGATAACATGCCAGTCAGCTTGCATTACGGTGCTGACAGAGCCCATTCAGTAGCCTAACCAAGACTGGTTAGCATTCAGAGTGAAAATTAACCAAAAGAAAAGTTAAGGAAAGTGACAAACAACCCTTCAGATCATTCACAAAAACTAGGCAAAGGAAAACTTTTCAAGTCAAATGTAGCTACTTTAAAACATAAAATACTTACAAGTAAGAAGGAGCTCCCTGTGTGCTGTGTCTCAGCTCAGCCGTCTCACAAAAGACTCGGCTTGTTTTCCACAAGAACCTCCACTATCGGTCTAGCATGTCAGCAAAATCCTCGGAGCAACTGGATAATTGGGGCATTTTTGTCTGACAAATACCATGTGATAAACTAATGAACAAAGCATGAATGGCCAGTGTTGCAAAATAAATGTAAAAATTGTACATCTCTCAGCAGCGAGGACACTGTGTGAACCAAAAAACAGCAGAGAAGTGATACTAATGATTTATATTTTATTAGGTTTTACATTTCCACAATATAACATTTTAAGTTTGAGACACGATCAAAAAAAAAAAAAAAAAAAGAGAAGAACAAAAAACAGAACAACAACCACACACACGTATAATTTAATCTGGAAACCTCATATACATACAGTGCACCCTCTGGAATGATAACCCCCCCCACTCGTTTAATTGATGACAGAACACAACATACAGTCGATGTAACATCAATAAATTAACTCTGTAAAGGTCATGTCCGGGCTTCAGTTTTGTTTCTAGGATTCTATTTTTTCTCGGTGATTGGTTGGAGCAGACACCCATTAGCAACACAATGCCCCATGCAACTTATAATGTGGGGTTAGAGGTTAATGGAACTGGGGGGGGTGGGGAAACGTGACACAGATGCTGTGTTTGTCATGAAAACTGATCCAATTAGAGGACAATCTGTTTAAACATCCAGCCAATGACCCGACCCCGTCGTGCCGGACTAATCTGTGTAAACTGAGACCCTCAAAAAAAGGGAAGCAGCAGAGTAAACCAGTCGTTACAACTGTGCAGTACCCACGACGGACATCTGTAATGTGGAGTTGCAGCGTCTATCATGTCCCTTAATGCACAGAAAAATACAGCAATACATCACACAACAACAATGCGTCTCTTTTGCATCGGAAATTCATTTCACAGACAGAGGAATGACGTCGTTTCATATGACAAAATAAAAAATAAAAGGAGAGTTTTTCTCTAATACAGCGGAGGTACTCAGTCCAGAAACTTGCGGTTTGGGTTGGCACCGAAGAGAGCCACCCGAATTTCAGGCATCATCTGCAAAACACAGAAACACGTGGTTTACAAATCTGCAGATATACGAGGAAAAAGTCAGCAGGAGACAGGATTGTTGTTCTTTGTTTAACTATGAAAGCCTTACTGAGACTAAACATGTCTATTCCAAGAGTGCCCCGGCTAAGATTGGCAGAAATAACAATGAGGGAAACACTAATATCATAAAACAAGACAACCTAAAATTCTGTTTTATATTTTGTGTATGTTCACTGCAACAGAAAACAAGGCAACTGCCAATATAAGGGATGTAAATAGTTTCAATTTGCTCTTTTCTCTCAATAAAACAACATAATTGCTCATACAATATCTTTGTATTGACGTTCACAAACATAACAGACAAAATCAACAGACCTTTTAAACACAAGGTGAAAAAAGGAAGGGTAAGCAATGGATCAATAAGGAAGAGGGAGGAGAGAACGTTTGGGAATTTGAGTCTGATAATATGAGCTGTGTCTATTTCCTACCTGCTGAGCCATGAGGTCCAGTCTGCTCTCCAGGGTGTTAGCCACCTTGATCTTCCCATTACTGTTATAGATTTCAACACCTCCAGAACTGAACCAAAAAAGGAGAAATCAAATTGAGAAAAATACTCATTTTCAAGAGTACATTTTTACTTTTTAAAGTCTAATTTATGTTTCAACTGCGCTGCTGCTTCTTACACGTCTGGGGAGATGAAGTTGTCCTGGTCGATGCGGACCTCCAGGTTGCTCTTTGTGGCTGCTTTATATATGGGAATATTCCTCTGGATGGAAGCCTGAAAGAGTCACAGCACAATGTACTTATGAGACTACCTACTCACCGATCATGCCTTTTCACACACACACACAATAAGAATCCATTTCCTATCCACTTACGTCTTATTAAATGCAAACATGAATTTGAAATTTAACTTAATGGCCTCTCCTTGATCTGGATTGTAGCCCATTTGTTTGTCGCTTGGGACGAAAGCATCTACCAAATAAATGAATACATTTAATGCAAATTCAAACACGCACTTGCTAATTTACTCACCTGTACCATCTGCACATCCTGTTTACGGCAGCGAATTGTCACTTTGGGCTCCAGAAGCTGATAGAATCCCTGATAGGATGAAACATTGTGAAGAAAAAGGTTATCAAACCTCTCTAATAACATCATCCTCGGGAACATATACACTTAGTGGGCAGGTTATGAGGTACACCTTGCTGAAAGTAAATCCTACCTTCATTAAAAGTTATAATGTGGATTCTTTGTTTGACTGTTTTGCATCATACTAAGATTTCTAATATTATGTCCACCCAATTTATATGAATGAGGATACTAAATAAGAGAAACACCAAGTTGAATCTCAAGAACTGGACATTATAGCCTTCATGAACCTCAGATTTATTGAAGGATTGTTGTATTAGCCTGCTTTAGAGTGTACAGTAGTTGAAAGAAATAAACTAACCTGTAAGATCAATCCATCCAACAGAGCTGGATACCTTGCTTGGTCTTTTGCGACGGTAGCGAGCCGCTGACGGGCCTCACTCAACATTTCCTGAGGGCACAAATACGTACAGTGTTTCTATTATTTGCACCAGTAACACTATCCATCGCTAATCTCTCTTATATACATGAGATATGACGATAGGATTACAAACTGATGTACGGCTGCTTACCGAGATCATGTCATCCCGGGCCTTCAGCACCTTCAGTCGAGCCTGGTTCATCAGGTTGGACATTTGACTGTTAAGGAGACAAATAACACACACATTGGGACTGTTTAGATTTCTAAGTGGGACTATGTTTGTTTGTCCGGAAACACTGGAGACGGTTAGGGGCAGGTTACAAAAGAGTCATTGTAAGACGAAGGGACTAAATAAAATTACAGAAACTCTGTGTCACACATACAGCTATTTCTTTGTTCTTAAAAAGGCCGGATTAAGGAAGGGAGGACTTAATGTGTCCTGTGATTTCTCGCCATGACTCACATTTTCTTCTGCTGCTCGATCTGCTTCTCTTTCTTCTCGTAGTATTCCATTATCTTCAGCCTCTGAGTCTGGACCAGACGGCCCTTCTCGATGTTGAACTCTTCTTCTGCCTGTAGGAGGAGACACAGTTCCCTCAGCACAAGATTCACCATCATAACATTGTTTTTGTGATCATTAAATCAGTTCATCTTTGCACATACAATAGTTAAAAGGTCACTTTAAAAAAAGGTTTAATTTATGAGACACATCTTTCACAGAATCTGATGTCTCAACAGTATTACATTGATCGGACTGATTATAGTGCTGTGATTTAATCTCAAAATCTGAAAGGCCTTAATGTTCTATTTTCATTATCAGTCTGTGGATTTTTTTGGGGTCCATTAATCAGTCGTTTAATAAAATAGTCACAATGCCCATAATTTCCCAGAGACTGAGGTGATATCTTTAATAGCCCAAAACCTAAAGATATTATATTTGTCATAAAACAGAGAAAAACAGCAAATTCTCATATCTGCGAGGCTAGAAACAGACATTTTTTGGCATTTAATGTACTTTTTCTATTAAATTATAGTAGTAGGAGTTTAATTTCTGCCTATCTACCTGTTCATAATGATTTCAGTACTACAAATACTGCTGACTGATGTAATGAGACTGCTGGAATTAGAGTTAATGCTTTATTTTACAACACTTTAACAAAACCTCAAAGGAGAATCTCTTGTGATTGGACATAAAATCAATTACATGTTTATAATAATAATAATAATAATAATAATAATAATAATAATAATAATAATAATCTTTATATATAAAGATTTTTTTTAAATTCAAGTGCAGATTTGGGCAAACATCTCCCTCAGTAGTATAAGATGAAAGAAGAATATGACTCATTACCTCATATTACCATGTACTTTAGCTAAAGGTCATATGTTTGTTTTCTTAAATATACAATATAACACACACTATATATATATATATATATATATATATATATATATCTTTCCTTTTTCTTAATTTACAAGCTCTTCCTGCGACTAATAACCTCAAACATCTGGAATAAATCCTCAATCTCCTCCTCAATCATCAGTTGTTATTGTTTGTGTTTAGTTATGTCCACATCATCTCAACCTCCAGCTTTAAATAATATTCTTATAATCCTGCTTCCATGGAAATATGTTTAAACAATAATTAATAATTCATTCTAGTTACTGATGTCACTTAAAGGTTGAGTAAAGTGTTATATGTCAAGTGTAAAATAATTACCAAATGGTTCAGATTTGGTAAAATCTGCCAGTAGACCCTCGATCATACCAGTACATAGTATACTGTGCTTTAAGTGCCCCCTAGTGGTGGCTCTCACACAGGTCCCTGAATATGAGGACCATTTAAAAACATTACACTCAAAAAACAGTTCAAATGCCACTTTTAAAGTCCTTTTAAATGTGGAATCGAAGTATATTGTGAATGCAAATTATCTGATGATGTGATGTGAATGTATGTGTTTATCTATGCTTATAATGTATATGTTTATACTCTTTATTTTGCCCTGGTATCTGTCATTTTCTCTTGTCATCTCTCTACAAAAAAATCAACTTTATTATCAAATCTGGTCACTGTGAACATTGTGTTTTACCTTTGCATCAATTTCTTCTGCCTTCTCATTGGCCTCCTGTTCAATGAAGGCCATCATGTGCTTGATCTGCAGAAAGGAGGAAAATAAAAATAAAAAATTAAGCACACAATTTCATCATAAAGTATTTTTCCTTCTTACGTGTGAACTAAACTGCAGCAAATCTATCATCTCTCTCCTAATGAAACCCAGAGGCGATTCCTCTCTGCCACCATGGTGAGGAATGCCTCTGTCCATTCATCTTATGAACACTAACCATATATAACAATGTACGACTGACCTCTGCAGCTTTACATCAGCTTTACATTAGAAGATTATTTTACAGTATTTGCTCAGATTTTCCCCCATTGAAGTGACCAGACACTGACACACTCACTCCCAGTTCCCCATCAGGCCCTGAAG